CTGGGACAAAGTATGGAGTTCCTTCCTAGCAAACAGGTAAAACTAAATGGATTTCAAAGAATTCTAAACTAAAAGGGACAATGCAAAAATTGATACTCCCTTGAAAAACATCCCAGGGTCATTAATCTGCCTGATTTTCTTCTAAGTGTAGAAAATTCAAAAACAAAAACCTCTTCCCTACTAATAAGGGAAGGCAAGAAGAATGAAAAATTTCTAAACTCTACAAATTTACTGAAACTCAATTTTTGACAACAAATCACAGAATGTAACTGTCATTCATATACTTTAAAATACTCTTGGCATTTCCTAACTACATGGTGAATGGTAGCACCACTTGAAATGAGTGTTCACCAGAACATTTCCTTTAAACTTCTAAGGGGAGAACATCAGAAAAATAATCATTGTTACAGTTTGGGTCTGGAATTCCCCAAGGGCTCCTGTGCTGAGAGCTTCTTCCCCAGCTGGGGGCACCGCAGGAGGCCGCAGAATCTTGAAGACACGGGACCCAGCTGGAAGAGGAGGGTCATGGGGTTTGCATATATGATTTCCTCCCTCCTTCTATCCCTCCATTCCTCCCTGTCTTTCTCTTATCAGTTGTCTAATAAAAAATCAGTGTTTAGGTGCCCTGCACAGTACTGCCATTCACGTCTTCTACACAGCACTGCTTCCCAACATAAATTTTGCCTATTCAGGGCACTCAGTGGCAGCTGTTTTTAAGCAGCACAGAATATGTGGGGCTCAGGATACTGAGTGAAAAACTCAAGTTCAAGGTCCTGTTTTGTGGGGAACTACCTGGATGACACTGCTTTCAAGAAGAGTGATTATTTCCATTTTGGATAAATTTGGCCCTATCTCCAAGGACTCTAGGTCGGCAATCTCTTCACCAGTACTGATATGTACAGAGCTGGCTAGGCCACTTCCTTGTCCCTTCAATTGGCTTTCAGCAATGCATATGGGCTGGCTGAGGAGCTGACGTGTAATCTCTGAAGCAGGGCAGCAGGACAGTCCCTGTTTCCCTGCCCAGTGACTCCCGAAAAACATGGTTAAACTGGGCGGGATGAAGGGCCACCACCTCACTCTGTAGGCTGGGATCAAACCCCAAGAAATGAGGCTACGACCTCCCAGGGCAGAAAAGATTGTACATTAGAGCTGAAGCACCAACCCCAAAATACTAGGTCTGTCAGGCGTTTCAGGCAGATTACTCTCTCTGTTTCCTTCTCTCTGTGTATCGCAGAGGTGATCTGAGGCCTCCTACCCAGCCCAGCTCACAGCACTCACTTATTTCTGGCCACTCATCCTCCAGCCACCCTCCTCATGGAGAATTAATAAAACCCAAACTGGGCCCCGGGTTATGGCTTTTGCTCCAGTGAACCCTTACCCTGGCTGGACTTGGGACCCTTGGCTCCCCATAACTATAAATATGTCTTAGTGTCTTCACTGTCCCCTTGGGCTGTGGAAGTGATAGACTGGAATTCATGTGCTGGAATGCCAGCAACTTTCTTTTGGGATCACGGATGTAAACTTCGCGGACCAAGACAAGGACCCGGGAGGGCTTTCTATACCCTTTCTTCATCCACAGGGTCTGGTAAACTCCTGCTCACTACCACCCGTCCTGGCCCCGTTTGTTTATCACAGTGTTAGGCTTTAGATCCAAGGGTCACAGTGAATCAACAGGTTATGGCCAACATGCAGTGGTATTCTGTTTGGCCAGTGCAGTGTTTTCAAAATTACTTATCACTGCCATCACTTAAAAGGCAGATATTTTTGACATTTAAAAATAAAACTAGGAGGTTCTGTATTGCTTATAATAATACCTGCATATCTATCAATGCTTGGCCTGCACTTTCATGTGGAAAACAACTCTGTAGCTGTACAGTAGCTGCTGCCTCCAAATGAAGCACGTAACTTGTGAGTTCATTACAGTTCTCACCATGTCTTACTAGCATGCCATCAAGTCAGAGCACACCTTTCCAGTACTTCCCTGGCCCTGGCAGTGTTTGCACTGTTAACCTAGAGTTGAATGAAAGCAGGCTGACTCTAGGTCGGCAGTCTCTTCACCAGTGCCAGGCTAAGAAGGCTGCTCCTACACTGACCGGATAATCTCCCTATTCACAGGTCCTCAGATGCTGTCCTCCACATCAGGGACCTGTTTGGGCATCATTTGGTAACCAGTGAACATTTACTACCACTCCCTGACTGTCCTAGGCTCTTAAAAATGTCTTTATAGCCTGACTCTAACTCCCAATTTCTGCCTCTGCTTGGTAGATGGGCTGTTTTGTACTGAGAGTGCCTGAGTGAATGATCACAGAGCCACAGTGGCTTGAGAAAGATGACTGTCTCCCAACCTGCCATATACGACCTGTTTTAGTTCTTTAGCACCAATTTATTTCCATATACTCCCTAGATTCTGACTCCATGGGGAAATAAATTTCAGCAAGTATGCCGTCAGGATAAACAGGCTCATCATGCCATATAAAATGATGCCAAAAAGATTTACTGAAGAAACCAGAAGCCCAAGCACTTCAGTCACTGGTGGAGCACTGCCGCTGGTCTAGCCTGCATGAGGGCTCAACCACACCAGAACCGTTTTGACTACAAGCAATATAATCATTTCTTATCTAACAAATAAAAGTCATTGACTTTTTGTGCAAGGTTGTTTGCCATTTCTACTGTCAGAAGGAAATAGCTTCTATTTAATCTTCTAGTTCAGTGGGATCCATTAATTTTCCTACATATTTCTCTGTGAATCTGCTAACAAGGTTACTAACTCTGAGGTTTTCATTTCATTGCATTCTGTATAAAACTGGCTTTTAAGACTAATATAAACACACATCATTTTTACAAGTAAATCTGTTCCTTCAGCCAAAATACTATATTCTTACTTTCCAAGTATTTCTTGTTCAGACAATAAACATTTTAAGTGAACAAACTGGAACCTTTTCTTTAGGTCTCTCATTGTATATAGTTTTCCAGTAACAGGGTGTGTTGTTAGGTTCAGTAATTCTCAGAACCTAACAAGATAGAAGCTAGGCATACATATAAGTCAGTTTCCATTCTAACAAAATTAAGATCTGCTGATTGCCATGACCAAAGGTTACCATACAACTTCGTGAATTTAGATCTTACACCTCAATAAATATTCTGTATTATTTCTGGCATGTTGACAATTCTTTCTGGTGTGTGCAACTTTATTTTGACTTGTGAATGAGTTTATCCTTTTGTTGTCCTTGTTATACTATTCAAAAAAGACACTAATGTTGCAATTCAGACATTTCATCTACAAGAAAAAAAAATCACTTCATATTTTGGGGTAGGAAAAAAATCTTTACCTTTAGCAAATAGGTTCTACTTTTATCTGATTGGAAAGGGAAAAGCAGAAACATAAAGTTAAAAATTCTTCAAATAGAATAGTATAGGAATTTGACATTGAAGGAAAAAAAGTAGATTATGAGCCAGCATATACCTTTTTTTTTCTTTGATATTTGGGAATATCAGAAGAGGCAACACCAGTGTGAAACAGAAAGATTACTCGAATAAATAAGGCACACTAAAAAATCAAAACATAGAGACTTGAACTGTAAATTGTGAATTAAAACACTGACATGAATGTTACGCCCACATATACTAACTGAATTTGGATTTAAATGACCTAGAGAAGAACTAAAGAAGACATATACAGGGGTCATTAAGAATGCACTCTAGCTGGACGTGATGGCACACACCTATAATCCCAGCACTCAGGAGGGTCCGGAGGGTCTTTGTGAGTTCAAGACCAGCCTGGGTTACAAAGTGAGCTCGAGGCCAGTTTGAACTGCATAGTGAGATCCTGTCTCAAAAAAAAAAGACGAAATGTGCTAAAAGAGCACAATTATTGCTGATACCAAATTAATTCATGCTCTGTAATCACAGCTCTATTATGTACATTTCCTGTACCACCACAGTGTAGAGAAACTGATGGAAATTGCTGATCTCCATTCTCACCTGAACTTCACAAGCAATGAGTTCACAAAGGAAAATCAGCCAACTGGAAACTAAAATTAAAGTTTAAAGAAACAGAAAAATCCTGTGTTTGTATATAGGTAAAAAGAAAGTAAGTTTTTCTCTTATAAGGAAAATATTTTTTAAATTTTATTCTATTATTATAGTCTTTATTCTACCCAACCATATCTCCTATCACTAGCAGATTAGCATCCAATGTTATTTACTGACTACAATACTATGGAGAGAAACTTGCTGAAGGATTTGGTTTTCTCTGTAGACAGTTTATACCATCAGTTCTCTGAATATCATCAGGGCAGAAGTTTTTCTTACATTAGACTGAAATTTAAAAACCCAAGGTTGAAATATAGCTATGGACAAACAGCCAAGTCCTAAATCACAACCAAAACCCTGCGACGAAGCTGGGTATCTCCTTCAGGCTTCCTGTTCAGAACCCGCCCTCTCTGCCATTCAGTTTCACTCGCACTGACCAGAGTCTAGGCCCTTTGAGCTACTCTGCATTTACAGATCTCTCCCAAAACACAGAGTCTCAAGCTCATAATTTGCCTCCAAATACTTTTAAAGAATGCTACATGTACACAAATCTAACTGGATTCTGACTGTCTTGGGCAAGCCCAATTTTGAAAGTGCTGGGTTCAGTTACGGCAAAGAAAATAAAATGCCGTCAGCAAGCCTGGTTAACAAACAACCATGCTTAGAGACATAATGTGTAATTGACATTTGCTGTGAGTATTTCATCCTAATAAGATTATTAATAAAAACTACTTCCCCCAGTGTTTAACTTGCTCATGCTACTAAATTTTACCTTATACCAAAAAACTCATTTTCAAGTGACTTTAAAGGTAGATACAGTTTTGAGGCAATGCAAAAACTCAATACATCACAATAAATATTTCCAGCAGAATTTATATTCCAAACAAAATGCTGACAGGTTGTATAAACACTATGTTAAATAATTACTTTTAATTTATGCTCTCATACTGATAACTATATATTTTTACCTTGAGAAGATACGTGGGAATATTACTGAAATCCACTGGCAACTTCAAAAGGAAACGTGCTGAAAATTCACCAGTCTGTAGAAAGAAAGGTATAATAAGATAAAAATAAAAAATAAATTGGAAAGTGACAATTACAGCTAAGGCCACAAGTTCAACCTGTTCAAAATGCAAGCATCTTCAATTTGAGTTTCCTAATATCAAGCAAGAAAAGAAGGCTGCAAAAGCAGAGGTAGATCAAAAAGAATTCTCAAATTTTCAGTTACTAAAAAGGATAATTTGAATTTTTAAATCTAAATTTTAAATGTGCAGTAAAATTATAATACAACAGTATTACTTTTTATTTCTTACAAGTATAAAAAGAATCCATGAATGTCTATTATATTTCTAAATTCAAGGAACAGTAATAAGACTACTTCCTAGATTCATTTGCTTTTATTGAAGCATTCACAGAACCTCACTAATGTTTGTAACTCCCGCGACCACAACGTACGTCCTTCCCCTCTATAGGGGAGGCGGGGGTATGCGCAAAGCTTGAATTTCCTCCCACACAAAGCAGTCTGTTCCTGAGCACTCCAACGAAGTTTCTAGCCTCTAAAAGTCTATATACCATCCTCATCATCAATTAATTTTTTTTGTTAACTTCGTTTACAAAGAAATCTCTAAAGGAAGGTGTGCCCAGGTTTGGCAACTGAAAATATTTAATTAAGTTATAAATAATGGCTCCTAACATCTATTCATTTATGGGGAGAGGTTACTGAGGACTAAACTAAGGATCACAGGCATCAGGCATGAGCAATCAACCACTGAGCTATACCTCAAGCCAGCTTTTTCTCAAAGGGAAAACTCAAGTAAAAGAAACACTTATCTTCTCAATTTTTATGAAGTGACAGGTCAGGCAACCATCTTTTTTGGGGTCACTTATTTTTTTTAATTTGGCCATTGTGTAGGGAAGGGGCTTTCCAAGTGGGTGGTACAGAGCCCTAGGAGTTCAAAAGCTGGTAGGGTTCTGGGTCCTCCACTGTGTCTCACTGCAAGCATTCAGCTTGACTCAGGCTTTTGACATAGTGAGCTTCTCCAACACATGTCTGGCCCAAGAACTCCAGGGTAGTTTCAGAGCTATCTTTAAAGAAATTTATCTGTGTCCTTGCTATTGTGTAACTACTAAGAAGCTCCCCGTACCTTCTTGGCTTTCACTCATTGAAAAAAAAAATGAACCATAAAATTCTTCAGAACACATCTTCAAATACAGCAGAAATTTACAGACATTTTTCTTTATGAACTACAAACACTTATACCACCTTTTACACATGATTCCACAACCATCCCCACTTCTTTGCACAAAAATCCTAGCAACTGGCCTCAAGGTTATGGCCCTAATTTTAAAATTCTGACCTAAAACCTTGAAAATGCAGGCAAAAATACAAACCTTGAGCTCAGAAGATAACAGTGATAACTATCATCAACCTGCTTGTTTTTTTTTCTTTAAACTGCTTACAACATCTCTTAACTTGCATCAATCGCTGGCTAAGGACAGAACATTTTTCCATCACCACAAGTATAACCTTGTAACAGAAAAGCAAAAACGAGAATTGAGTAAGCAAAATCAAAGTGGAGGCAAGACAGATGGAGTAGCAGAAGCCACTATGCCACAAGCATGCCAATGGTGACAGATGAGACTGATGGTCAGAGATGAGCAGCTGCTCTTAATATGACATGTCATAATGCGTAGACTCCCTAAAACTCAACGCTGGGGACAACACGGGCCACCTAAGACCTATGAATGGCTTATCATTTTGGGTGGGGAAAAGTTAATGAGATCCTAGGATAATTCTTACCTTCTGCTATACTCCAAGATTTCCATACACGTGTGATTCTAGAGGACTCTAAAACTAACATGCCCTATTAAGAATAGTTCTTTGGACTGAGTCACAGCTGGACCTAAAAGAGTCTGTTGTTAGGTACAAAAGGGTCATTCAGTGAAAAGGTAAATACATAGACAATAGAACAAGTGACAGTACGGAGCTAACTGGGAGTTTTATAAGAGGGACATCTAGTTTGCTAGGAGTCAAGGGGACAGAAAGAAAACTCCAGAAGTCTTTGCATGGTGCCATGTACAGTGCTCTACAGTGCTCCAACTGTCCCCTGCTGCTCTTACATGGTTTTCCCTCTTTACTCACTCTCTCCCATCAGCATGCAAACGTGATCTGTAAAGATTCTTTCTTAACTTTCCAACCCTCTGTAGTTCCCATCCCATTTCTTTATAAAACTACCTCCTATTTTAAAGTAACGAGCCCATATTGTAGTCTTTTGTTCTCTCTAGTTAGCCTTTCCTCCCCATCACTCTACCGAGAAACAGCTCACAAGGTCATGAATGTCCCCTCCCCTGCCAAATTCCAGTCATTTCTCAGTCTTCATCTTCGCGTTCTGGTGGTGGCATTTGACACCGCTGATTAACCACTATTTCCCAGGACATACTTCACTCGGTTTCCCAGGACCCAGCTGCCAGAGTCTTCTCCACACCTGTACCACTTTCTGTCCTCTCTAAGCCCTGAAGCACACCGAGGCGCACCTCCAACGCATTCTCTGCAGTCCACATGGTCTGCTCTGGGCTCATAACTTTTTTTTTTTTAATTTAAGGAGAAAAAGAAAAAAAAAAAAAAACAGAAAAAGGGTACAAGTTATACAGAATTTTAAAAAAAATAAACAGTAGGAAATCACTAGTTAATACCTTACATATTATCATCTTAAAAATAGTTGTTCAAGTTACAAAATTAAAGCATATAAAGTGGATATTCAAACAGTGAGACTGTAAACAGTTCTGTTCAATGATCGAACAAAAACTCAGTAATATAGTTATCTATTATACGCTTAAATAACATGCAGTTATATCCTTTACAGCACTTTCTTTTCCTCTCTTTTTTACAATGACAACTACACCTTTTGGGTTTTATTACTCCCACAGTTCTTATTACTTTTTTTTTGAACAGAATAAAACCAAATGGGACATAACAAAACAGAGTCAGTCAAATCAAAAGGATGGACATAATACATAATGTAAAACAAAATACAAGGTGATCAACAATGGTTATCACAATGCCTCCTGCTATCTTAAAAAGAATTGCCTATGTCCTCAGTTATAATAAAATTGAACAAAACAGTAAAGAACAAAACCAATAAAACCAAAAAATTGAGACATTACAGTACTTCAAAAGAAGATAATAGTCAAATCAGAATGGGCATCATATTGAATCTTGTCTTCACAGTTGTTGCCTATACTCTCAAACTTGGTACTATCAAGCAAAACAGAATAGAGTAAAATCAGTCAAAACAAGATGGTGAGAGCAATACATGGCTTCAAATCAAGTTAATTGGAAATCAAAGTGGGTTACTATAATATATCTACTATTTTTCCCTTAATTAAAAAGATAAAAATAAATAATAAATAATAAAAAAGGAGATTGAGATAAAAGAGGACATAACAAAAAAACAGCACAGGTCAGAACATGACCATTTAAGCAAAATAGTGTTTTACCACAAGATATCCTGACATAAAGGTAGTTACCATAGTGTCTCTTTCCTTGAAATTTTTGAGTATAACTTCATATACTGTAGCATCAAACATATCAAGACAATGTAAAACCATTCAAAAGAATGACAGTATTACAGGGCATTTAGAATCAACTAACAGAAAATGAACAATGGTTTCTGTATTATCTCCTTTATAAAAGTTTTTGTTTATATTATCACATATAATAAAATCCAATAAGATACAACATGTTAAGACCTATGGAGACAGAAAAACAAAAGCTTTATGGGACTTCAAAACAAGATATTAAATCAGCACTAGCTATTATGATGTCATGTTTTCTCCAAAATAGCTGTTTATACCACCCAACCTTCTATGCCTCATTTTTATTGAGCTCTTTTTCTGTCATTAGTTGTCAGTTTGTCTTCTTCATTTCGCTTTCTGCTCCATTCATTGTGGCCTCTCTGCCACTGTTTCTGGAATCTTGGTATTTTTCTCTTTCAGAATGTCCTGTAGTATTCTCTGTAGAGCTGAATTGGTGGTTGCAAATTCCCCTAGTTCCTCTTTATCCTGGAGGCACCTTGTTTCTCCATTAATTTCTAGGGACAGTTGTACAGGATATATCATTCTTGGCTGGAGGTTATTGTCTTTCAAAGCTTGAATTATTTCGCCCCATGCTCTTTGTGATTTGATGGTTTGTGTCGAGAAGTCTGCTGTAATTCTGATGGGTGTTCTCTTATAAGTGATATGTTTCTTGTCTCTGACGGCTTTTAATATTCTGTTCTTATACTGGATTTCTGGAATTTTGATTATTATATGCCTGGGTATAGCTCTGTTTGGGTTGTAGGTGGCTGGGGTCCTGTATGCCTCATATATCTGAGTATCTTTACCTTTTCCCATATTAGGGAAGTTCTCCTTAATTATTTATGTGAATAGCCTTTGCAATTCATTTGTTTGTATCCCTGCTTCTTCCTTTACATTCTTAATTCTTAAGTTATAGGTCCTCTTATCATCTTCTAGCCTTTGTATTGTTACTGCCTGTTTCCTTGATATTTTTAAGAAATTTTTCCTTTCAAGCTCCCACATTACAAATCTGTCCTCCAGTTTAGATAATCTATCCTTAGTTTCTTTCAAGCTGTTATGCCAGCTTTCAATAGTTTTTAGTTTCCTGGTAATCTCTTTGAACCTGCTTCATGTATTCTACGTTTTCTCTATTTTCTCCATCAAACAATTCTCCCCTTTTTTTCTGTTCTTCCATTCCACTATCTGTTTTTTCTTGGGAGGTGCTTAGCATTTCTTTAACTATTCTACTTATATTTTGCTTTACTTGGTTAAATACTTCACTTTTGAACTCGTCTATCAGGTCCTGGAGATATCGCTTTATGTCTATTGGTGCTGTGCCTGATATTGCATGTTTTCTGTCCTCATTCTCCTTTGTATTTACCTTTCCTGGATCAGTGTTCTCAGGATTGGGGACTGAGGACCCTTTCTTGTTGCTCCTTCTTCCTATACTTTGTGTTCCTTCCATACAAGCGTATATAGGAGGCCC